GTCTGAAGAGCATTCTCACTTCAGTTTGCTGTGTGGAGCTCGATGTGACAGGGCCTCCCTCCCTCAGAGACACCTGCAGAGAAGCAGAAAAGTAGATGTTGACTCTGGGAGTAAACAGGTAGAGGAACTGAGCCCAAAGAGTTTCACTTTCTTGCACTGTGAGATTGGTCTTGTGCTACCTTCCAGTACTTGAAGGGAGCTTACAAGAAAGATGGAGAGGGACTTTGGAAAAGGACATGTAGTGACAGGACAAGGAGGAATGGATTAAAAGTAAAAGAAAGTAGGTTTAGATTAGATATTAGGAAAAAACTCTTTATTGTTAGGGTGGTGAGGCCCTGGCACAGGTTGCCCAGAGAAGCTGTGGCTGCCCCAACCCTGGAAGTGTTCAAGGCCAGATTGGACAGGGCTTAGAGCAACCTGGTCTAAGTGGAAGGTGTCCCTGCCCATGGCAGAGGGTTGGAATAAGATGAGCTTTAAGGTCCCTTCCAATCCAAACCCTTCTATGATCCTGTGATCCTACTACATGGATAACTTTGTGTCCTTCCTCAGTTTGCACAGTGCCTTCCTACCCGGTGTAACCCTTATTTGGTGTAAGGACTGGCAGAACTGAGGCCTTTAAAGACCTGACATGTCCCTGTGGGATGTGCCAGCTGGGAAAACAACAGGAATGTATCAGGAGGTACAAGCTGGAAGGTGCAGTGTTTAAAGCGAGGTTAAGTAACTCTTGGAATAACTTGGCCAAGGTGGATTTACTACACTTGAAGCTGTCAGATCAAGCTGAGTTTATGTGGCCTGATGCAGAGCTTTCTGTGAGAGAGTCGAGTGACTAAATTTGGAGTCCCAGATGCCTAATTTCGCTGTATCAGCCCATTCCTGGGGGCTGACGGGGCTCCCAGAGGAGACCTGCGAGGAGCCCGTGCCCGTGAGCACTTCCCTGCGGTGTCCAGACCCCGAGGGGAGACTGAGCTGAGGGAACCTGTGACAGCGACGTGTTAATGTGATTAATGAGGAGCCCTAATTGTCACGGACAGCCCGTGCCGGCGCAGGGAAGCGCTGCCGAGCGGGGAGAGCATCCCTGGGGACCGGGGCGGCTCCGGCGGGGAACAATGAGCGGGGTTCGGCGGAGCGGCTGTGTGGACGGGATTTAATGAGATTTCCGAGTACTGACAAGAGCTGGAAGTGTTTAATAGCTCCGATTTAAATTATTCATGGCCGGGCGGGGCCGGACCGGGGCTGGGGGGGGGAGCCGCTGGGGCGGCGCGCGGCCGCCAGGGGGCAGCATTGCCCCGCCGGTGGCGAGAATCCCTTTGGATGGAACCGGGATAACGATCCTGGAACAGGGATAACCATCCTGGAACCGGGATAACCATCCTGGAACCGGGATAACCATCCTGGAACCGGGATAGCGATCCTGGAACCGGGATAGTGATCCTGCATCTCAGGATAGCGGTCCTGCATCCTGGGTTAACCATCCTGCATCCCGGGATAGAGACCCTCCATCCTGGAACAACCACCTTCCATCCCGGGATAACCCCCTTCCCTCCCTGGATAACGATCCTCCATCCCAGGATAACGATCCTCTATTCCGGCAAAATGAGTCACCCTCTCACGCCCCGAAAGCGGCTGCAGGCCGAGGGGTAACATCATCACAGAATCACAGAACGCTCAGGAATGGAAGGGACTTGAGAGATCATCCGGTTCCACCCCTCTGCCATGGGCAGGGACAACTCCGGGTAGAGTGGATTGTTGCAAGCCCTGTCCAAACTCGCCTTGAACAGTTCCAGGGACGGGGCAGCCACATCTACATAACACCTAGTCTAAATCTCTCCTCTTTTAGTTTGAAACCATCCCCCCTTGTCCTATCACTGTCTGCCTGTGTAAAAAAATTGCTCTCCCTCTTTCTTACAAGCCCCCTTCAAGTTCTATTGCTGAATACCTGACCTGTTTATAGAGGTTTAGCCCTGAAATGTAGCTCTGGGTTAGCCATTTTGCAGGGGGGGATATGGCCAAGAAGGTGTTCACTCTCGCTCTTTTCTTGATTTTTTTTTTAGGTCTGGTTCCCCTCAAACTCAAATAGCAGCACTTTTCAAATACATACAGTGACCAGACTAGATCTTTCCCCCCCCCTCTTCTATGAAATGCAGATGTTGGTCTGTTTTCTCTTGTTCTCTTATTCAGTAGGAGGTAAGATTTTAACCAGGCTGACAGTGGGGTTAAGCTCAGGCAGGCAAATCCCCCTGTACAGTACACGGCCCCCAAACTGCTTTCCTCTCTCACCCATTGCTTTACAGAGAAGAGGAGTCTTTTGAGGGATGCACTGCTGTATTATAAGTGAGGAATTACTGAGGATGGAGAAATTAAAGCCTTTTAAATATTTAATGGAAGAAGGTTTTCTAAATTATTTAATAGCTTATTATGAAAAATTGCATAAAATGGTTTGGTAATTTATTCTTTACAGAAAGTAGCCTTAAGAAGCATTTTACAATATATAAATATTGGTAGGAAATGCACCTAATTTAAAACCCTATCTTATTCCTACTGTCAAAGGAATTATACAGCGCCCATACAGTTTTCAAATAACTTTAAACCTTTATTGTTTCTGTTCTTGAAACACTTCTCTGGCATAGGGAAATGCTACTGAAAACTGATTTTACTGGAGTGCAGAGGCACAGAGAACAGACTGTGCTGAGACTGAGGCACATCAGATCTGACCATGGCAATTCCTTTCAGATCCCAGAAGCCATAGTCTTTGTTTTGGGCGTGTGGATGCCCTAAATACTGACACAGGGGAGCTGTGTAGCCTCCGGGGTGACTCATATGCAAAGCAGGAGCTGTTCATGGCCAGCCCAGGGGTAAATACTGAGAGCCCTTCCCCTCTCCAATTCCCTCTTCCTTCTTTTCTATATATTTACTGGAGATGGAAGTGGGATTCAGTTGCCCACTGACTAGTCATTGTATAAAATCAAATGAACAGCTCTACTTTCCAAAGTAGTGCAATACCCTAAGAGGAGATAGAGACCAGCAGCAAATACAATGTTCAGAAAACACACAGAAAACGTGGCTTTGCCATGAAAAACCTGGAATTCCTTTTACCCTTATTAACCAAGCGAGCCTCTTGCTTCTGTTCTGACCTGTCTCCTTTATTGACATAAACCACCTGACGTTGGTTTCAGGAGTTTGCCATAATCTCCCCTCAAACAACCCTGTTTTTAAAAGAAATATCTCTACCTGGAAGGCATCAGAAAGCCCCAAGATATGCTGGTGACTGTATCATCTGTCAATTTTGCTGCTTCCATTTAATTAGAATGAGTTGGAATAATCAATATTTCCTTGTCTTTTACAAGTGTTTAACATGTGTTTACAGAACAGGTTACAGCAACGTTAGTATTTACCTGTAGGTGCATCTACACAGGGTTTTATTTTCCTCTCTAATAAAAATTATGGAACAGATAAGCACTAAAACCCAGGTTAGTGTATTGCAGTATTGATTTCTGCAAGAGCATTGTAAGAAAATATTTATCTACCTGTCCTATTATGAAATGGGTAAAAATGTACCACATAACCATTTCAGTCAGTCAATGCTATATCGAAAAGCCTCTTTGTTTGTTCTTCTCAATAGGCCTTTTGAGACACACTTTTTTATTTTTATTTTTTATTTTATGTGTATTTGTGGAAGAAAGGATTAATACAGGATGGTAGTGCTCTGTCTTAAGACATCTCTTTGTCCACATTTTGTTTTAATTACAACTGTTGTGTTGTGATTTTGGCTCAGTCTGCAACTCCACATTGGAAAGCAAAGAGAGAGTAAAATGTGATTAATTACAGTTTGCTGGCCTGGCACCTCTTTAATTCCAGCAATTACTCTATTTTCTCATGGCATTCTGAACAAAAAGGAGCTGTTAAGGCAAGGCTGGACGGGGCTTTGAGCAACCTGGTCTAGTGGAAGGTGTCCCTGCCTGTGGCAGGGGGTTGGAATGAGGTGATCTTTAAAGTCCCTTCCATCCCAAAGCATTCTGTGATTCTATGATTGTGTTGAGCCACGGGCTTCTGAGAGGTGTCTGCCTAGAGATGTTTTGCCCTCTGATGTGGTGGTGTAATTTTGTGTTTCTTAAAAGCAAATTTCTAATTGATCAAAAGAAGAGTGAAATTAAAAGAGTGGTGGAGAAGATGAGAAAAGGTTATTGTCACCTCTCCGTAGTGAAGACCACATTATTATTACTCTCACAAATTGCACTGTGTCGTGCTTTCTATAGCAGAAGGTCAAGCTGCGCCCAGGGATAGAAGTGAGAGAACAAATATAAACAACAAAAGCAAAGAGACTCAAATGTCTATAAAAGGGAGTGTTTGAGCTGGTTATTCTGTGGAATGTGTGTCAGTACTGCTGCACAAGGGTCTCCATGTAATGATTTCAAAGGGTAACTTCTGGGTACAGGTGGGCTGGGTGTGAGAGGTGATGCTGGAAGCAAGAGGAGACAGAAGTGTCAGAGGGTGCAGCAGTGCACTGATCACACAGACACACTCCTGTGGATGTGACCCTCTGCTCCTGAGGCAGCCACACTCCAGGGCCTTGGCCAAACTTTTATGAAGACAAAGAAAGATTTTTTTTTTCCCCTTTCTCTAATAATCTCTGGTTCATACTGTTAGAGGCTTCATGTAATCATGTGGAAATGTGTTTGCACTATGGTGGGGCCTTAGACCTTACAGCTTTCACAGCATTTGGGTAGCAAGAGGGCACATGGTTATAAAGCCCCAGCAAGCTGCATGTTCTGTTTGTGATTCCTAGTACAGTGAACTCTGCCTTTAGTTAATGCAGTGATAATTCAGAGCTGCCTTACCACAATTTCTCTGTGTTCTTGGAAAGAATAGAGCAATACAACTGCTGTCTTCTGCCCTGGATTGCACTGTAGATGGCACTGTGAAACAATGATTTTGGTTACAGAGATGTATTTTACAGCACCATTCCAGACGTTAATTGCAGTGTAATATGGCTTTCTTTCTAGGTCCCCAAAGTGAAGGAAAAATTCTGAGATGCAGAAAGTCTTATTTGCTGCCGCAAATGGGAATCTGGAATAACTATGAAAAACACACTGAAATAATTGTGTTTGACTGGAACAAAATTCTTACAAAGTCCCCAAGGTAAGAGCACTTTTTATCTTTCAAATGACACTGAAGATTTGCTGTTCTGGTGAGCAACAATATCCACTTGAATCCAATAGAGAATGAAGGCTTGACATTTCTAGAAGCAGCAGCCCACTGACGCTGAAGGGCTCAGCACCCCTTGCTGCATCTGTCTGCCAAATTTCATTTTTCTCCTGCCTTTTCAAAGATCCTCTTGTATTTCTTTACATTGTCAGGCTGAGAACTTGAGTCCTGTCTACCTGTAAGGCAGACCAAAGTCTGAAAATGTATCATTTCAATGGTACTGTCTGCTTTTAGCAGCCTTTCAGTTTGGATATAACTAAGTTGATGCTTGGTAGTGATACACTTATTCCTGGACTTGAATATTCTTGCAGCGGGGTAAGGTTACCCTGTTACCCTGATGAACCCTGGTTTCACATTCCCTGTCTAACATCACAGTATGGCTTCATAATCTGGGAAAGCTCTTGAAATTATTTCAGCACACAACCATTTCTACTGAGACCAGTTTTGCTCCTGCACTGGGAACAGTGGGAACACCTGGGTTCACTTAATTGCTGAAATAGCAGCTGATAAGCACACAGTGCATGATTTGAGACTAAATACCTGTCCCTTCCATTAACTCCTACCAGTAATGGCATGTTCAAAATACCTGATCTGTGGTATTTAATTCCATGGGTTAAATCCTGCTTTCAGACACACCTCAGGAAATCTGTAGGAAAGTTCCCGCCTTTGTTATGATACCACAGAGTGAAACCAGAGCTGAGGTCTCTGCTATTTGGATCAGATTCCAGTGTTTGCATTTAGAGCAACAGACAGATGGGATTGCAGGATGAGCAGATGATGACATCCTATTTAGTGATAACTGGTGCATGAGCTGTAAGCTCATGTATGTTTCTCATGGAGAGTAAGAAAACTAAGATTAAATTCATCTGTCTCCTCAGGAAAATGAGGTTCAGTTACCTGGGAAAGAAATGGTACATTGATTTCAGAACTTACTAGGCAGTTTTCTTAGGCTAATATTGGATCACCAGTAATAATAACATTTATGCTGGTTTCACAGTGACTCAATCCCATTAGCTGCAGTGGCATTATGTGGTTCAGCTGGATGCAAGAGGTGAATTAGGTTCAGCTGCTCTGAATTAGCCTGGGAGTGCTCCATAAGAGGGCACTCACAGGGTAGGCAAGGACTAGTGATGTCTTTATTTTCTGAGCTGTAAAAGACCCTCAGCGTGTTCCTTCCTGTACTGGTTCATTTGCATTCAGGGTGGCAACACTGGGCTTGATATAGAGCACCATCTTAAAGCCAAAAAAGGTACCACATTGTCAAATCAGTCTTTAAAATGTGGGTTCTTTACATGTAATCTTTACATTCTGAGATTTGTAGACATGGTGAGCTCTTTATTAATGCTAATTGTGTAATTTTTAAAAAAAGTTTGTAGGCTGGAGTAAAGTCTATAAGGACAGCTGAAGATGCTGGGGTTTGCACCAATGTGTAAAACAGTATTTGTTGCTAAGATATGTTTACATGCAGCAGACTTTTTGTCTCTTGATTTTTGATATTAGTAAGTGCTTTTGTGATTTGTTTGGGCTTTATTAAGATTCTCAATAAGGGAACAATATTGTTTTATGAAGTGTGAAAGTGAAACTTATGCAAGCACTACTAAATGAGGAAACATGGCCTCTGCTTTGGTTTTCTTTGTAGATGTTTATCAAACTTAATATCCAAGTGCTTCACCTGGCTGTGACAGTAGAGCTGTCTAAGGCATGAATTGTTTCTTTTTTTTTTTTTTTTTACTATCCCTGTATTCAACACTTGAATATTGGGTTAACTGAATAGTCTCAGACATTTTTAAAGATAAACAGATAAATTATTTGGAACATACTTGGAAGAATCAGAACTGGAATCCGCTGGGGGAAGAAGTTCCCAAAGGACTTTTTGGTGCAAATAAATATGCTTGTGATAGACTTGTCCAAATCCCAGTATGTCGATTCACTGCAGACTAACATCACTGCTATGAAAGCAGTATTTAGTTCAATTTATGCAAATCTATAAATTGCCTTTAATTAATTTGATGTATTCCTGCTTACAGAATTTGCTGAAAGTGTGAAGCGTGGTATCTAAGGGTTCAACTACATAATGCCTGTTTATGTATCACACAAGTAATAAATCATCATAACTGAGTTTAAGAAGATGATTAGATTCCCTTTCTATATGATGAATGGCAAAACATAAGCCATTGAGGGATTTAATTGCAGATATTTGCCGAAGAATTACTGAGGATTTGTGATCTTAGGTCTAACGCTAAGACTAACAACATGCACTTTCTTTAGAACAAGTGTTTTCTGAAATGCAGTTTTTAACACCCTGGCAGAGAAGTGAGTCCTTGCATATCTGACTGAGGTGCTGGTTTCATGAATGTTTAACCCTCAACAAACCTACTGGAAAGGAAAGCTCACAGATGTTGTGTGACTGGGAGGCCCAGCCAATTCCTACACACGGTTACATGGGAGCTGGTACCTTTAGCAAATGTGTCCTGAGAAGTGTTAAGTAAAAATGACATTTTTTTCTATGATTGGGGCAAGTGCAGTTTAAAAATAGTAGTACAGCTTATATTTACATTTGAGTGTGGAGGGATCTTAATAAAAAACAACCCACCCTTTATCTCAGATTCATAGAAATGTATTGCTCATAATGTGTTATTATAAATATGTGTTTGTGGGTAATGTGACGTGTGATAGACATTGTTTTGCTTCTAATTATGAAACATTATTAACAAATAACTGATGCCAACTAAATCATGAATATGATTTTATCACTGTTGTCTTGTAATAAGCCATATTGGTTATTCTTCAACATCGTCTCAGCTTTCCTTCCCCGCACCATTTTTATGTTATTCCCTACATACATTGTTCTTTCACTCAACTGCTTCCTTTTCTGCCTCCAGGATGAGATTCTGTGCCAAATCAATGCTTCTCTCTGAGTGGCTCTTTCTGGTCTATGTGTTAATGGTCTGCTGTAAATTGTTGTCCGCCTCTAGCCACCATCCCCGGGGGCACACAGGTAGGAGCTTTTAAACTCATTATGTGCTACTGAGACCAATTAATACCACTTGCAGCATGTTAAAGCCCACTTTTTAGCAATGGATAATTGATGAGGCTGTTGACAGCATGTTATAATCAGTGCGATAGGTTAAAAATATAAAACCAAGAAAAAAATGAGTTATTGTAAATTTTCATGGTTTTTCTCTAATAATTTTATGTACTGAAGCTCACCAGACAGTTTTTTTGAGTGACTTCGTGACTGCTAGGACTTGGGGGTTTGTTTGTGTCATTTTGCTTTATCTGTATTGGGATTTGTGTCATTTTGCTTTATCTGTATTGGGATTTGTTTGTGTCATTTTGCTTTATCCGTGTCCGAAGACATTTTGAAATGTATCTTTATCTTCTCCCTCTTAATCCTGTCATTATCAACTGACTTTACAACAGTGTCATTGGCTTTGGTGGGCAATAGATCAAAGCCTTCAGACTTATCTTAGTCAGTTCTTTCACTGAGTAACACAAATTCTGAACAGTGCTTTAGACCAGCTTGTGATGTGCTCCTTCTTTTCCTAACTTGCATAGTGAGGCAACCAGAAAGATCTCGCATTTAAGAATATGTACTATTATAGTAGGGAATTATCTATGAGGCATAATGTGTTATCACATTACAAGTGACTGAAATAGCTCAGAATAAGCTGGGTTGGCTTTATGGAGAGATATCAGACTGAATCTCTGGAGCAACATCTCTGTTAGGATCATGCAGACACGTCAGTTTGAAAGCAGAAAGAGAGAGAGATGTACCTGTGCCAGTGAAAAGTGGAAGCCCTAAATAAAATGGGGTAGCTGTGCTAAGGTTGTGTCACCTTTGATCCCAGGAGAGAAATAAATTAACAAAATACCTCTTTGAGCACCACTTCTCAGGAGAGGCCAAAATCCTGGCTGCAACACCGTGATGATGCCTGAATTCTCAGCACCATAGTCACCTTCATGGTGGCTTGGGGACTTCAGCAAGTGTTGCTGTTTGTCATGTAGTTTTATTCTTAAATTAGTCCTAGAGTCCATATGTAATGTTCTTAGCTCTGAGCCAGACTCTTGTGGTTCCAGGTCTAATGTTAGCATCCACTCCAGCTCAGCACTAGGAAGTGGGGATGCATTTCTTAAGGCTCCATCCTCCAGATGAGACAAACTATTGATCTCTTTCCTGGCTGCTTCAAGTGGTCATCTAGGTGGGAGCTGAAGGCTCCTCACGTGCTCTCCAAAATGTCTTCAGTCCTGGCAAGCAGGACTGACTGTCCTGCACAGAGATGCTGTGTCTGTATCTACGTGCTCAGAGCACATCAGCAGTGGGTGTCTCTGAGAGCTACCAAAACCACCTCCCTGCCTTACCCCATCACCAGCTCTGTGCTCCCAGGTGCTGTGCAGCACTTGTATGTGTTTGCCATAAAATGCAATCACAGACTATGGAGAATAACGGGAATGTTTTAGCAAAAGCCCAAAGAGTGATTCCAGTGAACAGAGTGTTGGAGGAGGATCCGTATTACTGCTTTGCAGGGATCTTTTATGGAAACTAGTTCAATTACTTCAATGAGGAAGGGGGTTTATGCACAGTGACAAGTTAATTAGGCCCTCTTGACCTTTCCTGTAAACAACTGCTGCTTAGCAAAGCATTTCAGAGCTGACTACACAGAAAAACCTGGAGAACAGCCTTCTGCAGCATTTGTCATTTAGGGAAGAGTCTTGTCAGAGGGAATGATATTTTTGTCTTTTCAAGATGCACTTTGCATTTGTCATTAAGGGAAACACCTGTAATAGGGCGGTAGTGATCTTGTGTTGTGGGCTCATATGATGAACACTTATTATGTATTATGTAAATTATGACAATTTTTTTTACATAACATTTCAGAATGCTTGACCGCTTACCTACAGTTGACACCAGGAATTCTTTCCACCGTATCAGAGAGGTTCCATAAAACACAGTGAGGCTGCTCGACTGTTAAGCAGTTTTGTGCACTGATTTCTCTGGGAGGCTAAAGAAAGGTTCTGCTCTTCCTGACTACTTTGGTCAGATTGTGGAATTATTTTTCAAATGGACACCCTTGAAGCTGGAGCCATCATGCACCTTTTTAGACTATGGTGTCTTGTTCTTCCCCAGATGTGAGTTTCCCTCATCCCGTCCCACTTTAGGGTTCCATGTGTTAGATGAAACAGTTATCCCATTTTTGATTCTCCAACTCTCTGTCTGACATGTGGTACCACAGAACATTTAGAGGGCTTGAGGAGCTCTCCTCAAGGGGCCAGTGTTTCCCAGCCTCACCTTATCTTTGCTGTTTGACACAACACCTAAATAGGCCTTCTAACATATGATCAAATCTGTGCTGGAATCTGTTGTTTGAGCAAGATGTGTCCTTGTTCGTCAGGAAAACAAATAATTCAGAGCTTTCAGCACAGCCTGTTTTGTGGAAAGCAAATAATTAGCCTCATTTGTTTAATAAAATTAGCATGTTCTTGGATGGCAATTGAGACAAAATTTTTGCAGTCAACAGGCAGCATTAACACTTTTCAAAGTAAAAGGTGCAGAAGCACATAAGAGGGATGAATTCAAGCTTTATGTTTGATGCTTTGTCTGGTGTCCCTTGGATCAAGCAGCTGTAACCTGACAGGTACATGCTGAGGTGGGATGCTGCTTATGAGGCAGGAGGTGCTGAGCCTGGGATACTTTAGGGGGAGCTGGTTTTTAAGAACATGTTGTGCCTGCTTCTGGCAATCAGTGTGTCTCAAGTGATGTGCTTGACACCGTCAGTACCTTAGAATCAAATGCGTAATCACTACAGCCAAGAAACTGTATTAATTAAGAGCAGAAAATAGAATTTAGATGAAAATAGGGATTGACTTTTTCTTTTCAAAATACAACCATTTTTAAGGAGCCTAATCCGATAAAAGACAATTATTGACTTGGGTCATGTTAGATGGTGCCTGAAAGAATAACATTCTACAGCTGTCTCTGCAATATTCAGGCAGGAATAGAGACTAGATCTTAAGGACCCAATAACCATCTTGTTTCTGAGAAGTGGGAGAGAACACCACTGAGCAACCCCTTTGACAAAGGGGGCCTCTTCACTGTAATAAAGTGTAAGGCAGACCTGGTTCTTTCTTTTGTTCTGTGAAATATTCACCACCATCAAATGACTGGTAGGGGAGAAAGAGACTGTTCGATCCTGCCAAGGCAATCCTGCCATTGCTTTGCAGAACTTTGGATCTCAAGCCCAGCTTGGAGGACGCAGCCTGTTTTTAATTGGAACACTGTAATTGCTTTGACTGGCAGAGTTAACCAGGCAAAAAGTAGGGAAGAAATGTTCCTTCTCATTACCATTGGATTGTTGAAGATGCTGCTTATGCAGATTATTCCAGCACCCTCCCTGTACATCTGTGTGGAGAAGACAAGTCAGAATATTCGTCTGACTTTGTTGCTCTGAATTGCTTTTCTGAAGAGTTTTTCTTTTGCACTAACAATAGCCAAGGGAAGCATAAGCACCAACCTTACTATAGCTTTTGGGCAGTATTTCAGGCTCCTGGACTACCTAATACCAATATAATGATCAATTCTATGCTGTGCTGGATGAAGCAACATACATTTAGTAGCAGAAAACATTTGTTTCTGCCTCACTGCTGTAAGTCAAAATCCACAAATGAAGAAGCATTGAAAAGACACTTTGTCAGGTCAGCTCACGTGGAGGCTGGACTTGCAGAACATCAGTTGGTACAGCCAGCTGAGCAGTTTCTGCCATGGATTACCAGTGCAGCTTGGCTTTTTTGAGGCTGCTTGTTTTACATGATGATGCTCACCTGAAGTGCTTCCAGCTGCCTGCTGCTTGTTGAAAGGTCTAGATTTTTGAGAAGTCCATTATTATTAGTATTATTAATATGCCTGGAATCCATATATTTAATGAACATCTGTAGCTTAAAGCAGAGCCAAATTGGTTCACATTTCCCTTTTCTTTGTAATTTCAAGTGAAGAGTTCAGTGATAGCCAGAATGGTTTGCTTGCTCACTGCAGCTGCAGGATGATGGAGATCACGGGGATAAATCACAGTGTGTGGGTGCACTGGGACAGCTTGGTCTTTTAGCCATCTGGAAGAATGAGTAGCAACTTTGTTTCCTGGAGTTTTCCCCTTGTTGCATCGCAGACAGTTTTATTTATGGGCTTATCAGAGGTTAAAAGGGAGAAGTCTAAAAATGGCAGTGGCAAGCAAATATACATGACCCCACCAAACCTAGTGACCCTTCTAACACCCTGGGGCATACACACCTCATGGCCCTCTGGTAGGGAATGAGGGAGGAACAGCAGCCCAGAATAGGTGAGGTGTCAGTGTGGGGTGTGTTATCAGTCAATCAAGCATCAGGTGATGAAAAAATGAACACCACACTTCCCCTGAAGGATGAATAAGGAGTTCAGTGGTGCTGTTGGACTGGGCTCAGGGGCTGAGTGGCAGCTGGGCGTGTGTGATTATGGGAACATCCAGCAGAAGGTTGTTCCTTTATGCACAAAATAGCAGCTCATGCTGAGGAATGTATCAGACGCTGGTTTGGTCTGCAGCACCCTCCAAACATGCTTATATTTTTAACTCTGAGTGTGAACTGTCATCATCAGCTGGAATTCAGACCTCTTGATCATGCTTTTAGTTTCAGGTGGTCCTGTAGCAGACTGGATTGTTCCCCATCGATTGCAGTTTTTCACAGCTTTAAGGACTTTTTTTTTCTCTACTTTTCAGAACTTTAGGGACATATTCTGTCCCCACTGGAGTCAGAGGAAAAATTCCTTATTTACACAAGCTCCAGGATTTAATCTGCTTAAGGGAAAACTGTGTGTCTGAAAAACGAAGTTTAGTGTTAGAAATATTGCTGCTTTCAAGGAAACAGGGAAACCAGAAAACTCAGTCTTCTTGTTCTCCCCTTATTTTTGGTTTGGAACGTCATTCTTCCTAGCAGTGCTGTTTGGCAGCCACGGGCTGGATTCCCAGTTCC